CCGACCTCCCCAAAACCCCAAAACCCCAAAACCCCTTTTTCAAGTATCAAATTTGAATATTTTATTTATGAAATCCTGGCATCACGCTAGAGAATAAAGACCTTTTTCCCATCTTGCTGCTTTGATACTTTTTAGTTTCCACTATTCCCTCATTTTCATTAATGCTACTTCTTGAGTAATCAACACTTTGCTTTTTCAAGTTTTCTCCTAGTTTTTGAAAGTAGTTCTTTCGAGAGTTTATAGCTTCGTTATTAGAGAACAGTCCTTTTGCAGTCCTGCTCTGAGTAATAAATTGGTCTCTGCTGAGTTTTGATCCTATTTTAGGTCCAATCCTACACTTATCAGGGGCATATTTCTCTAACTATTAAAGAACAAGACATACTTGGCTGCTTCCTTCCAGGTAGGTTCTCTAAAAAGAAGCTATCCATGCCACTGCTGCTAGTATTTCCATCTAGGTATTATCAGGAAGTTCTTACCCTTATTTATGATAATTTTTGAACTCATTATTCCTAACATTTTTGTAAAATTTTCGTTTGTAATCCTTGGAATTATCCTCACAGACGTCGCTGGTTTTCATATCTCAACTGAGGGCTCTCTCGAAATTATACCGTTGCTCGATTTCCTTCCTGTGGTTTTCAACATCAATCTCCTGAGAGGGGAGATATCTCTGGAAATCTTGTGTATTATCAAAGAACTTGCTTTCTCCTGTGGGCTGTCTCTCCCCTTTGAGACTACGTTCATTCCTCTTTCTCTTGGATTTATTCCGCTTTTGTTCCATTCTGTCCTCAGACTTGTTCCTGAAATATTGGTTCATTTCTTGAGGTTTCTGATTTTCGTGCGCTTCAAGTGTTTTGTAAGGGTTTTTGGTGTCTTCATTTTTCAAGTGTTGCTGAATTTTGGTGTCAAGTCTTTGGGAGTTATCCTTTGGTTTGATATAGCCGTTCAGATCTTGGTCAATCCAATCTTGGGTTAGCTGCTTGTAGTCATTGTTCCGAGACCCGAACCTTTTCATAGGAGAAGAAGACTTCTGGTTTAGTTTTCCTAGTTCCTGATGTTTAAAGGCTTGGAGATTATTTGGGATATTCCTTAGGAGATTCTCCTCGTCTTTAAAATTTTTACTATTTGTTTGTGGAGACTCCATGTAATTGTCAATTGGAGTGATAGGGATTCAGAGAGAACTATCATCCAAGAGATTGTCCGATTCTTTATCAGCATTATCGAATATCATGTCTTTACTAGGAGAAGGTATAAAATTACTCTTCACTTTGGTTTGACCATGGCTTTTTATTTTGCCAAATGTAGGAGCTCTACTGGATGAGAAATATCCTTCAAGATTATCTTCTTCCTCCTTGATATCTTTGAATTCATCTACTCGTTGCTTCTCTGTTTGAAGATTTTTCTTATGAATGCGATCTTCAAAACAGTTTTGTTGAATTTCTTTAACTGGAACTAGCTTGAGTTTGCCTCAGTCATACCTATGCAAACTTTTCTGAAATCTGAAGACATTCAAGCTTTGAGGTTCAAATTTCAACTCATCGAAGTCTTGTTTTACAACCTGGTACACTTCTTGAATATTCTCGTAGTCCATTTTGCTGAGTCCTTTATGTGGAATCTTATTAATCAAACCCGAGGTTTCATGTACAAATCTATGAAATATTACTAGAATCTTACTGGGAGAATTTCTTTATCTTAGCTATCGCATTGTTTTCATGCCCTTCTAGCTCTTTCATGGTCTGTTCAAACTGCTTGGTTGCCTTTTCAATCTCGTTCTGGCGTTCTGTCTGGATCCTTTCAATTAGGTTTGTATATTCCTTCGTAATCATGGACACAGTACATGCTTTCTGTGTGGATATTAATGATTTCAATGAATTCAGCTGATTTTTCAAAACACTCATTTTCTTATCTAAGCCTGCAGAGAGAGGGAGGAGTAACTTATCCAATTTATTTATGAACCTCTGTGATCTGGAAATCAGGCGTAGATTGCTTAGTCTCAAATGCTCAGTATACACACATTATTTCAGAGGTATTTTCACAATAATATAGAAGTTTCTCAGATTTGTGCTTACTTCATAATTTTAGTTCCTTAGTATTTTCCCTTACTGAGCTTAAGGACTCTTTCACATTTTTAGTGAATAGTTTGGAGTTACTAGCTGTTGTGTTTCTCACAGTAGATTTGTTGATCAGCATGGATAAGACTGGTAATCTGGAGATATCTTTTGGTATTTTGAAATTCATCTCCATCCCTCTTGCTTTCTGTATTTGCAGCCTGATGATACATTCCTTGCAGAAATAGTGTCCTGAAGGGAGACCAAGAGGCAGATGGGATTTTTCATCAAAAAGGCACTCACATTTTTGGCATCTATACTCGTTTTCATCCATCGAGCTCTCCCTAGACTCCATACGATCATTAAGAGTTGAGTCACAGTGTCTGTTTTGCTCAGAATGAGTGGATATTTCTTCTATCAGCTGGGCAGATTTCACCCTGAGCTTATTTTGACTGCTCAGAAGGAATTTTATTCTCAGACAAGGTTATCTTATCCTCAAAATTCTTAGATCCTGAGAAATATTCCTCCTTTTTGTTATTATAGAAATTTGTCTGATCTTTAAATATGTGATCTGAAGTTGACGAATCCGGACTTCTTTGTACATGAAATGTTGATTCAATGTATTTATTCAAATTTCAGACATCAGAATCTATAGGTTCACACACTCAGTTTGCACAGCACAAAGATTATTATATAACACAACATAAATCTCTCTAAGACACTCTAACCCTCTTACCTTTCTGTATAGGCCACATATCATTCTCATCTTGGTCAGTATCAAGCTTGAGCTTGATTCTTTCTTCATTACTCTCACTCATTTTAAAAATTTAAAATTCAAAATCCTCAAAAACTTTAATTACAAATGGGGTTTTGGGGTTTTGGGGTTTTGGGGTTTTGGGG